GTTCACTTAAGAACCATGGTAAGGTGAGCTAACCTTACTTGAGTTTAGAAGCTTGCAAGACAAGCTTCAAAACTCAAGAAGGAATACTTAGAAAATTCGGCCAAAGGAGAACAAGAGAGCTAGGCGGCCTTGAACCAAAAATGCTCCATGAATTAATTTGAAAATCCTTGATTTGGTTTAGTTAGGTTCATCATATGATGATGAGACCTAGCTAAATCAAATCTATGAAAAATTAGGAGCAAAATGAGTCCAATATGCAAAATTTTGCCTAGGCCCAACTCAGGCCCAATTTCTAAGCACACCCTCAAGCATTGCTAAATATCACCCCCTTTTCCCTACTGAAAAAATACAAGATGAAAGTATCAACTAGGGAGGTTAAATGGAGTTAAACTCTCCAAGTAACCTACCTCAAAATCAATATACAAACACTAAGAAAAACAAGTAAAGTGCCTCACAAATACAAAGGCAAAAATAACTTATACAAAAGACTATGTATAAACTGTACAATATAAACAATTAGAACTAGGCCTTCTCTTCATGATAGAGCATTCCAAATGAAGATTACCTTGGGCTTGACAAGCCCACTAGTCTTCACAAGGTCTAACTCTTCCTGTATTCTTCTAGCCATAGCTCTGGTTACTGGGCCCTTGGCCCATGGTCTATCAGATGTATAATGTATAATGTGATTCTTTGACTGATGTTGCATGGAAATATTGTGTTTCTATTGATGGGGATGCAAGAAAAGTCAGGTGCAAATTTTGTAAAAGGACATTTATAGGAGGGGTTTATCGTTTGAAATATCATTTAGTAGGAACATCCAAAGATGTTGGAGCATGTAGATCGGTTCTTGAAGATGTTAAGAAAGATATGTTGGGTATTATTTCATCATTGCAACAAAACCTCCTAAAAAAAATCTGGTGACATTGAAGGAATAGGTAGTAGTTTTGCTGCTCAATTAGGAGGTGGTGATATTAGTAATCAAAATCATTTCAAGAGAAAAGTTAGCCCTCAAATGACAATCAACAAAATCCTTAAGAAGGATTCGAGGGAGGAAGCATGTTAGGACATTGCTCTATTTTTTTTATTTGAATGTTATCCCTTTTAATGCAGCCAATAGTGAAGCATATAAGAAAATCTTTGAATTAGTTGCTCGACATGGTCTAGGATTTGACCCACCATCCTACCATGAGATTAGGGTGAAATACTTAAAGTATCATGTTGAAATGACCAATCTTTCTTTAGATGATCATAAAACTTATTGGAAGAAATTTGGATACACAATAATGATAGATGGATGGACAGATAGGAGGAAGAGGGCTATATTAAATTTTTTAGTAAATAGTCCACTTCGAATAGGTAATTATCTTCTATTCTAGATGCTTCAGTTTATAAATTATAGACTTAAGAGTTTGGTTGAAAACTACTTTTTTTTTTCAATTGTAGCTACATTCTTTTATGGGAAATTATTGATTAAAGATGGGACAAACAATTACATAGGCCTTTGCATGTTGTAGGTTACTACCTTAACACTATACTACATTATGCTTCTAATTTTAAGGTTGATTGGGAAGTTAAGAAAAGATTCATCGATTGCATGGAAAATATTGTTGGAGATTTTGAAATAATAGCAAAAATTGATGACTAACTTGAGGATTTCAAGAAAAAAAAGACCTTTTTGGTCATCCTATAGCTCAACGTGCTCTTAATACCAAAACTCCATCAGATTGGTGGGAATCTTATGGAGATAAACATCTAGAATTGCAACAATTTGCAATTCAGGTTTTGAGTTTGACATGTAGTTCATCTGGCTGCGAGCGCAATTGGAGTGTCTATGAAAGAGTAAAAATTTTAATTTAAAATGGTATATCCGTATATGTATAATGTATTTCATTATCTTCTTCCTATTATATGATAATTGATTTTTCCTTTAGGTCCATACCAAGAAAAGGAATCATTTGTTGCAAAAGACCATGAATGATGTAGTTTATGTCATGGCAAATTCCAAATTGAACAAGAAGTGAGTTAGGAAAGACAAAACTATTGTATTGAAGACCTTTCTTCCGATGATGATCGGATTGTGGAGGAAAATGATCAAATTTCATATTTGAATTCCTTGAATGTAGACATACTTAAAGTTGGACAAGATATTGTGACTAATAGTGGTGGTGATGCAATTGTGGACGATTTGGATGTTCCTCCTATTGAAGAGGATGAATTAATTGGAGTTGGAGTGGTGGGAGATGCAAATGCCATTAATGAGAATGAAGATAACATGGATGATGGTTGTCATGAAGAAATTTATGTTATCCTGAATGACTAGAATGCAAGATTTATATGAATTTATAATTGTTATGTTTTTAGTTATTAAGTCTTGTGACTTATGAACTTTCTAATTTCTATTAGGACTTGTTAAACTTTATATATATATATATATATATATTCTTATTTTAAATTTGGGTATTATATTTTTAATAACATTATGTAGGAATGTAAGATCTTACAATCCGAGTTATGATTTTCGAATTACGATGTTTCACTCTCTTTCCGATCCTAAGTAAAATCTCGATTTTAATAACATTGCTTCAAACTGCTCAACAATTTGAATAACAAGCTCTCTAAATCAATAAAAATGTTAAAAACAGAATAAATAAACTAGTTAAATGTGAGTCAACATTTTCAATCAATAAAAATTCAAATTATATGAAAATTAATCCCATGATTAGGTATCAATCAAACCTGGTGGGAGACAACACACAAGCAAAGAAATCATTTGGGTATGGTGCTTCTAAGAGAGCTTGCAATATGGGAAGGACAAAAGCTCTAGTCTTACCAAAACCTGTTTGGGCAAGTCTTATCACATCTTTTCCTAAAAAACACAAACTACAAAGAATAATCACACATTTAATAAGATTTCACCATTGTTAATAAAGCCAATCCCCAGAACAAAAGATAGAGAAAAATATAGAAGTTGGAATGGGAGGCTATTGAAAAAAATAATGCAATCAACAAAAAAAAAAATATAAAAACAACAATATATGGTATATAACTACATATAGTTTCAAGTTTCAAGTTTGCAAGTTTAAAATCTAAATGCCATCAGGGTCATATAACAAAGATTGTTATTTTTTTTTTCTATCTTTCTCTAGTTTATAAATAGTTAAAACAGAAAAATATCATATTGACTTGTAAAACTTAATAAAATGCTAACCTTCTAATGCAAGAGGAATTGCTTCTATTTGTATCTTTAATGGATTTTTCCAACCCAATTTTTCACAAGCTTCCACCAATGACTCAATTAAGCCCAAATCCTTGAATGTTTTTATTTCTTCATTCTCTTCCTCCATTCTTAGATTTTAACCTGTAGATAAAATTCAAAATAAAAAATTTAAATAACTTGTATACAGTCAAAACTCAACCATCAAAAGCAATTGGAAAAAAATAACTAATGAATAAAATATTATGCAAATGAGCGTTCCCCTTTATCCCATACCAACATTAGAATTATTCATTTTGAAAACAAAAACAAGCATATTAGGATGACATTTTTATACTGTTTGAAAGAAATATAACATAATGGTTGAACAGACAATGTCATTTAAGAATGATGTATCATTATATTGTTACCCTTGTTGAGTGTTGGAGATTCATGTTGAGGATGGAGAAACAACGGATCTTTGATGTGATAGTGAGATGAATGTATTTGTGCTAGATTTTGGACTTGGAAACCAGAGTTAACCTTTATTGCAATTGATGGAAAGAATAGGTGGTTAGACTTAGAGCTGTCAAAACGGGTAACCCGATCCACCTCGGGTTGAGCATTTGGTGGGGCAACCCAACCCGACTCATTTATTAGTGAGCTCAAAAAAATTGAACTTGGCCCGGCCCACCTTGGGTTAGTGGGTTAAACAGGTTGGTTCACCTAATTTAAAAAAAATGTAATTTTTTTAATATACAACTAAAGCCCAAAATCATAATTAAATGATAATTCTAAATACAATCAAATAAAATCTAAATAATATCATGTAGATAAATATAATTCAAAATCATCTCCAATACTATTTTAGGCCCAATAATTCAAATATAATTCGAACCCTAATGCTCATTTGGGCAATTGGGCCCAATAAACTGAAAGTTGAAGCATAAGTTTTTTTTTAACGGGTTGGTAGGTCAGCCTAGCTCACCACGGGTTCAACCCGGGTGAGCCAGGTTGTTAGTGAGCCAGGTTCAAAATTGGCCTGTATTAAAATTTTTAATTTTTTTTTGTCCAACTCGGCTCGAACCCATGGTGGGTCGGGTTAGCTCACCAGGCTGAGTCTATTTTGACAGCTCTAGTTAAACTGACACACGTATGTATATGTTGTATATATTCTCTCTTTAATAGAGATTTATCCGATTCTCTTTAAAAAAAAAAAAGTACTCTTAGAGAGTTGAATCTACTTATAGAATGATGATAATACCTAAAATTAGAATTAAAATAAAAAATAGTTGAATTACTCAATTTTATTGAGATTAAATTTAAAAAATTTAACGTAATTCATTATTTTTAAAAATTATAAAAAATTAATTAAAAAATATAATACTTAGATAAGTAAAGAAAAAAATAATAATGCTTCAAAGTAATGCGCTAATACTTAAAAAAAGTCATGATTTTTAAAATTAATATTAAAAAATAAAAAAAATGGTTGAATTATTATATTTATTTTGGATTGAGTTTTTAAAAAAATTAACATATTTCACTATTTTTTAAAATTCTTAAAAAAATTATATAATGCTTAATTAATAAAAAAATAACAATACTTTAAAAGTAATATATTAATTATTGAAAAGGAAAAATTATTAATTTGTAAATCTTAGATTTAATATATTTATAAAGTAAATTTTTTTTAAAAAATTATATAAATAATAAATAAAAAAATTATTAATGATGGAAAGTAAAGACATTTATATTTTTAAATATGTTTAAAACTTAAAAATTAAAAAAAAATATAAGAAAGAAAAAAGAAGGAAACGACACGGTTACAAACCAGGGCTCAGACCTAAGTCAGGAGAGGATTTAGCCTTCTACTGTGCCTGCTACCGTGCGGCGTTCTTCTTCTGCCTCTGTTGTCGTCTTCTTCTTCTGCTGCGGAGCTGTGTTCTTCTTCTTCTTCTTCTACTGCTGCGCGGCTGTGTTATTCTTCTTCTTCTGCGACGCAGCAATATAAATAGGAAGAAAAACTTAGGGTTTTTGCAGCGAAGATATCTGCGATTGCAATCTGCCCCAATATTTTATTTTTATTTTTTCGAATCGTGAGAGAATCTGATTCCACGAATCACGCGGAAGATCGGGATTTTACTCCGATCTTATTCCGCAACGTTTTTGCTTCCGATTTAGCACGGAAAATTCTCCGCATACCCTACGAGTTTAGGGTTTAGGGTTTTACGAGGTAAGTCACGATTTTAACAACACCTGTATGTTCAACCATTATGTTTATATTTCTTTCAAACAGTATAAAAATGTCATCCTAATATGCTTGTTTTTGTTTTCAAAATAAATAGTTCTAATGTTGGTATGGGATAAAGGGGAACGCTCATTTGGATAATATTTTATTCATTAGTTATTTTTTTCAATTGCTTTTGATGGTTATGAGTTTTGACTGTATACAAGTTATTTAAATTTTTTATTTTGAAATTTATCTACAGGTTAAAATCTAAGAATGGAGGAAGAGAATGAAGAAATAAAAACATTCAAGGATTTGGGCTTAGCTGAGTCATTGGTGGAAGCTTGCGAAAAATTGGGTTGGAAAAATCCATTAAAGATACAGATAGAAGCAATTCCTCTTGCGTTGGAAGGTTAGCATTTTATTAAGTTTTACAAGTCAATGTGATATTTTTCTGTTTTAACTGTTTGTAAAATAGAAGAAGACAGAAAAAAAATAACAATCTTTGTTGTATGACCCTGATGGCATTTAGATTTTAAACTTGAAAACTTGAAACTTGAAACTTATGTAGTTATATACCATATATCGTTGTTTTTATATTTGTTTTTGTTGATTGCATTATTTTTTCCAATAGTCTCCCATTCCAACTTCTATATTTTTTTCTATCTTTTGTTCTGGGGATTGGCTTTATTAACAATGGTGAAATCCTATTATATTTCTGATTATTCTTTGTGGTTTGTGTTTTTCAGGAAAAGATGTGATAGGACTTGCCCAAACAGGTTCTGGTAAGACTGGAGCTTTTGCCCTTCCCATATTGCATGCTCTCTTAGAAGCACCACGCCCAAATAATTTCTTTGCTTGTGTGTTGTCTCCCACCAGGTTTGATTGATACCTAATCATGGGATGGATTTTCATATAATTTGAATTTTTATTGATTGAAAATGCTAACTCACATTTAACTAGTTTATTTATTCTGTTTTTAACCTTTTTATTGATTTAGAGAGCTTGCTATTCAAATTGCTGAGCAGTTTGAAGCTCTAGGTTCTGAAATTGGTGTCAAGTGTGCTGTGGTGAGTTTCAATATAATTTTTTTTTAAATGATTCAGTGTGAATTTTATTGCTTCTCGTTTACTGCATAACTTAGACTTTTTGTGTTCTGTCCCCTTATACCATTTCCAGCATAATATTTAGCTTTAAATAATGGTTAGGCACTGTGTTAATCTTCTATTTGAGACAATCACGTTAGAAAAACTATTTTCTTGACATGATTTCCTTTCTCTCTAGCTTGTTGGAGGAATTGACATGGTACAACAATCCATCAAGATAGCAAAGCAACCTCACATTATTGTAAGTGTTACTGTTGCTGATAAGAATGTTTTGATTTCATTTGTTTCTTTAATTCAATAGTGTTAGATAATAGTTGAGTGAGATCAAAATTTAATCCTGAGTTGAGTATGTATATAAAATATATCACTCATGTTTAACTAAAGAAATGCACTATTTTTTTTGTTGGTTTCTAAATCAATTACTGGCTTGTATAGCTCATTATTGATCAGAACTTTTAATGATCATCGTGTTAATTATATGCTTTCTCTTGTGAAGAGATAGAATTTGTTAGTGTTATTATTTTCTTAATGTTTTGTAGTTGGTAAGCTATCAAATTCCAATGATGTTTGAGTATTCGCATAAAAAAGTTTAATGATTAGATTGCTGAAATGAATTCTTATTGATTTTTCCTTCCTTTTGTTTTTAGCATGTCTGCTTTCAAATGTTAATGCTTTGCTGTTTAACATGGTTCCTTTAACATTCACTTGTTGAGTAAATTTATTACAAAACTGCTACCTTGTTTTTAACCTGTTTCCCAATTTCAAAGATTTGTATAAGAAACACTGAAAATAACTGCCCCCTGTTTTCTCTGTTTTCTGTACAAATCTTTGCAAACAAACACCGAAAATAACTCCCCTTTCTGTTTTCTCCATTTGCTGTACTAATCTTTGAAAACAAAATTAAATTAAAAAGATGATAGTTTTATAATTAAGAGTGAAAATAAAAATGATCTAAAAAAAATGAAAACAGAAGTAAGCAAATCTTTAGTTTATCACTAACTTTTGCCCTTCTCATTTTAGAAGTCCTATATTTTTTTATTATTATTTATTTATTTGTGATGAATTCATATTCATGCAGGTTGGGACTCCTGGACGAGTTTTAGATCACCTAAAACATACCAAAGGATTTTCTCTTAATAGATTAAAATACTTGGTATGATTTCTACATTTTTTTTTTGAAATATATTGAATTATTGATATTACTTTCTGTATCCTAAGAATATTTGAATGTTCATATATATTTGGTGAAGGTATATAGGTGAATGCTTTATTCTTAACTTCCTTTTCCCCATGATTAATATAGATGAATGTTTTTTATGGTTATAAATATATATATATTTTTTTAAATTGAAATTATATATTTCAGAGCTCAAAATATACACAAGAAAAAGAGGGCATACTTAACCTCTATTTACACCAACAATTGAAAGAAAACCTTTATATCTGTTGTATTTCTATTTCAATCTATTCTTACATTAGTCTATTCATATATCAGCATAATCATCTCCTGTGCAGGTTTCTGCATTAATTTCTTCTGTTTAAAGATAAATATTTTAGCTTCTGGCTTAGCCTTCTGGACAAAATAAAGACAAGAGCAAAAAACTGCTGCCATCACATTGAAAATAACATTTTATTCTCTTTACCCTTTCAAAAACCTGTTTCCAAATATCAAAACTAGTAGAATCTAGATTAAAATCAAACTGTGCTTGTAGCCAGTTTTAAAACTTGAAAAGATCTACTTGAAAAAGAGAATGATTTTATTATTATCATTCATGCATATTATATTCTCATTACACCTATTTGTAACAATCTAATCTTCCAAAATAAGGAAATAAGGAAAAAATATGCTGAAAAATAAATAGAAGATTCTACAAATATCTTCTCTAATTAGGAAGATTTTTCTCTAATTACAACAATCTGAATGCCTCCCCTCTACCAAATAACCTTTTATTTATAGATGTGATGGCCTGATGGACTTGGTCCATGATATCCTTTTAACTAATAACTAATCTAATTTCCATATATCCTGACTGAGTAGCCTCATCCAAAATACAGGCGACCCTTTGTTTCCACTTCCAATTGCTCCATCACAGGAGCTACATATTGATTCATTTAGACATCCTCATCACACTCACACCAAGGCAGTTTTGGTTTATTGGGTTGAAAAATATGTTATGTTTCCTGCATATTCCCTGTCCCATCTGTATTGGATACAGCATTGCGGACTAGAAGTATTATGATTCTAGTTGCATGGGATCTGAATTTTGCCATGTCTCCTGTTGTGACCACGCTTGGATAATTGGTTAATGAGGCAATAGACAAACATTTTTAGTAATAATATCCCTAATTTTTGCTCTAAATAGTAAATATTATTTATTAAAATAATAATGTATATTTCCTTTCCTTTTTCTTTTCTTTCCTTTTATCAACTTCTCTGATCACTATATTCCTCTCTCTTAATTACAAAAGGACATAAGGTTAGATCAGTTTGTGCATAATCTTCCCACCCAATTTGATTATTGTCTTGATAAATTCTTATCTACTTGTTCCGTTCCCTGAAGTCTTCATTAGTCAACAATATATTTAGTTGTGAAGGAGAATCGATCATTCATGCAACTGAACTGTGATCGATTTTGGTGACTTGAATGTGGTGTTTAAAATTGATACAAGTTTATATATTGTTGAAACAATGCATGTTTCTGCATTGGTTTTGGTTTATCTTACGTGGTTACATAGTTATGTTTAAAGCAAATGAGTTGCTGATTTATAACTGATTTAGATGTAGGATGCCATGCCTTCTGTTTTCTATTTATGGATGCTGGGAGATGTTAGTGGATTTTACAAAAAGAAATTAGTAATCCATTTTGTTGTCTACTTTATGCTTATCTCAATTTTGTCCTCATTTCCATTCCATTCATATACATGGACTTACTTGATTACTCTTTATTTTGAGCAGGTCTTAGATGAGGCAGATAGGTTGTTGAATGAGGACTTTGAGGAATCACTTAATGAGATTTTACAGATGATTCCTCGTGAGCGGAGAACATTTCTGTTTTCTGCTACGATGACTAAGAAGGTATATTCATAAATTTATTATTTATTGCTCACTTCGAAAATATATATTCATAATTTTTGCCTCTTTATACCTTGGCATTTACCAATTATGGCATCTTAATATGCAAGTGAACCCTTTTTCTATACATATTCATAGATATGGAACCTTATTAGATGCAGGTCATTAATTCTAATTGTTGATATATAATTTTTTAATAGATTAACAAAAACATTTAATCTTATTATTTGGGGTCAAATGTATTATATCTCGTTATGTCAACATGCATTTGCTTCAATAAGGATATTATGGTGCAAATGAAATTGGACAAAATGGTATCTATATGCTGCTTATATTCTACAATATTCTACAGATGCTTGGTTGTTGACTTGTATTTTTAAATTTATGTTGCTAATAGATCAAGTTGCACTCTCGCTGTTGCAGGTCCAGAAGCTCCAAAGGGTTTGTTTGAGGAATCCTGTGAAGGTACTACTGTAATTGTTACAAATATGTTTAAATATTGGGGGAATTACATTACACTCCACTTTCTTGAGAGATGTTTAAATTACCTTTTTCCTGTCTTCTCTTTTGAAAAATCATGCACCCTTTGAGAATTTAATTCCTATTTTTAACTTTAGTCATTTTTAACATAAACAAGCTTCGTAAGAATAAATTTTCTTATTTTTAGTATTAGTGATATTTAGTTTTAAACCCTTACTATTAACTTTAGAATTGTAAGAGATAAAATGAAGCTTTTTGGTGAAGCTTCAACTTCCAAAGTTCATATTAAGGAATTTTCTCTTTTTCTTAATGTTTTACAGTTTTAAAATAAACAACCGTGTTCAAAATTAGTTTTAGGTGACACAGGGAGTCTGACAAGAAGGAAAAATGTTCTTGGGAGTAGGGGTTTGAATATATAGGTCAGACTTAAAATATGTAGATCAGATCTGTTTTATAAAATTAAAGCCTAAGTTTGATCTATTATTTATGATAGATTTTTATATAAGTCTGGCCTGATCTTTTTTAAAAGTTTGTTCTAACCTATTAGTAAGCTCATTTTATATTAACAATGTTAATTAGGCTAATAAACATTATTTTTAAAAATCTAACAAATATATTTTTAAATATATCGCTAAGTTATTTTTTAATTTGTGTGATAAAAAAATAATTTACTCAATATTATTAAAATTTAGATTTTAAAAAAAATATGTGCAATGCCACAAAGAGAAGAAAAAATGAATCATTTTTTGTTAGAGATAATTCGTACACATGTTTACGCACACTCACACATGTTGTAAGCATGTAATGAGAAAAGGGTAATCTTATTCTTTTCAAAAAGCAAAACTTTTTAAATATTTTTTATATCTCATTTGCCATATTTTAAATAACCAACTCCAATTTTAACAAACTAAAATAGTTATGGTAACAAACTAAAAAAATACCCAATCTTTTATACTGATAAATATGCTGGCTTATTAAGTCTAACAATTTTTTTTTTATATAAGCATAAGTCCAGTCTTTTTAAATAAATAGGCTTTTTTAAAAGTTTAAATTTGATTTTTTTATTTAATAGGTTAGGACAGACTAGATTTTAAAGAGATCAGGCTATAGGCCCCTGTTTTTGAGGCCTGCCTATTTCCATCCCTACTTGAAACACACATTCACAGTTGCTCACCCTTGCTAAGGGTTTTATTTACTGTATAATGATTAAGTATAACACATTTCATCTCTTGAGGGAGGGTAGCATAATTTTAAAATTAGAAATGAAGGCAATATACTTTAAGCGTCATCCAAAGGAGGGGAGTATTTTTACTTAATTATATATGTATATATATATATATATATATATATTTTTTTTTTTCCTGTTCTGATGTGTCTCAAAATTTGTTTTAGATTGAAGCAGCATCTAAGTATTCCACTGTTGACACATTGAAGCAGCAGTATCGCTTCTTGCCAGCCAAACACAAGGTTTCTCTTCTTTCTTATCAGAAAAATGTTGGATTTTAAAAAAAGAAATTGTTGTCAACTGTACATTGAATTTCTTAATGCTCGTAATGGCTTCTTGACCCAATGGAGGTTGTGTAAAGATTACCAACTACTCACATTGAGGGGAAAAGTAATTTGAAATGTCTTGCCATTTATATTCCCTTTTTATACACAAAGCATTGGTGCCTGCTTCAAACAAAGTTTCTACTTCTATTTGTTGTCCAAAAATAAGTTTTACCTAATAAAAGTGTGTTAGTGAGGTTGTTAAAGATATCTTACAAAAGAATGTTCATGAATGGATGAGAACGAATTTGAAAATATCTCATATATTGTCATTGTTTTCCTTTAAAATGTATCTGGCTATCTGCTGCTTGCAACATACTAGATGGAGACACATAATCATGATTAGGTAGGACAAACTTCAACCATGAATTAATTCTGTCATGCTATAGGTTTGGCAGAAGAATTATTTTATTAAAGATTATGATGTTAGATAGAGAGCACACTGTTTGTATGGCGCAATTGTAATAAATTAGCCATTTGGATTGAAATTAATATATATTCATACGTTTTGGGTTTCATCAATCATGCCCATTATCCTTTACGTTTGTGATGATTGTGTTCATTAATTATGTGTTTATCTTATAGGATTGCTACCTTGTATACATTCTCACTGAAATGTCTGGAAGTACATCAATGGTGTTCACTCGCACTTGTGATGCAACTCGGCTTCTAGCTTTGATCCTTAGAAATCTTGGTCTAAAAGCCATCCCAATTAATGGTCATATGAGCCAGGTTACTGTACTACAAATCTTGTATTATAATTCTAATTTGTTTTCAACCTTTTTTGTTCCCTTGTTTTGGGAGGGAGTGGTGGGGTGTAAGAAGTGGTTGTCTTAGTCATCCTTTCATTATTTAAGGGTGTGTCAATGAAGTATCACCAATTTTATTTATTTTTGTAATAATCTTTTGACAGTCGAAGAGACTTGGAGCCTTGAATAAGTTCAAATCTGGAGAGTGCAATATTCTCCTTTGTACTGACGTAGCTAGTAGAGGACTGGATATTCCAGCGGTAGATATGGTGATTAACTATGACATCCCCACAAACTCCAAAGTAAGATGTTCTATGCACTTGTATGTTTTTACTGACATGTTCTATTACAATTATAATTAAGCAAAAGTTCACATGCATGACTCATTACACATCTAAATTAACACAAGACCTGGAATCATGGAAAAAGACAATAGTTTAAGGAACTTTTTCGTGTTTATATTCGCTGATACTTCGAGCTACAGGATTATATACATCGTGTTGGAAGGACTGCACGTGCAGGGCGCTCTGGGGTTGCCATTTCCCTTGTGAATCAATATGAGCTTGAGTGGTACGTTCAAATAGAGAAGCTTATAGGTGAGTAGTATATATGCTCTGTATTTTCTTTGACATGTTAAAGAACAAAAGTGTTTATGAATAACAAATACAAGTATTCCTCAGACAAGAAGCTACCAGAGTATCCTGCACAAGAAGAGGAAGTTCTGCTTTTGGATGAGCGTGTTAGTGAGGCCAAACGATTAGCCGTCATGGTAAAATTTTGTACTGAGCTTATTTATATTCTAATCTAGACTATTTCTTTTTTGAAAAATAACAAAAATTAAGGTGAGGGATTTTGTTGAATGTGATGTTATCATTTGTCTGCCCCATTTTATTTACAATAAAGAACGTGATAACGAAATTTTGGGTATTACTATCTCCATTATTATTTATAAAACTTAAAATAATTATTTATTTCTTTATATAAGATCAAATTAAAATTGTCTCGTGTATTAATAATTTTTAAATTAATATACTTATAATTCAAGTGTTTAGAGTTTAATTATAAACTCATTAAAGAGTATGAACTCTAATTAATTAGGAGAAAGGTGAGTATTAATTAAGAGAAAAAAACAATAAAAATCATATACTTTAATTAGTTAGAAGATATATGAGTGTTAAGTAGGAAAGAGAAGTAGTATAAGAGTAATTTTAGAAAAAATATATAAATAAAACAAATCTATTATTATCAATTAAATTAACTATTTTTTTAATCTTAATGAATAAGACAATTAAGTATGTGATTAATGTGGTAGAAACTAGAAAGCAACTTGTTTTGTATGTGTATGTGATTATATTCCTGAAATTAGTAAAATATGATAAAGGATTTTAAATCAGCCAATGTTTATGTGCTTTAATTTAATTGCTAGAAAGTACTAAGTGTTAGTATATATGCTTGTGCAGAAAATGAAGGAGTCTGGAGGGAAAAAGAAAAGGAGGGGCGAAGAGGATAATGATGGGGAGGATATCGACAAGTACTTCGGTCTCAAGAATGGGAAATCATCCAAAAAGTTTAGAAGATGAGATCATATCACTGCCAGTGACTGAATTAATTAGGCAGATGAATGAATCAAATGAAGCCATGAAAAATTGATTGTGCATTATAATTTAGTTTTGAGCAAATTATTTTATTATAGAGTAAATTAAAGTTCAGTCTTAAAGTTTATTTTAATGACATTAAACTTCAAACTTTCCATTTGAATCATTCCGGTAAAAGAACTTCAAATAAATAGTAACATAATTTTTTAATGTTTTAAGTATATTTTGAAGTCCCTTACGATAAATTTATTTATGATTTTTCAAATTTAAAATTACGTTTTTAGTCTCTGATTTTTAAAGATCATGTTTCAATTTTTGAAGTTATTAATAACACAATTAAAAATAATAAGTTAAGATAATTATATAACATCAATTGAGTTTAATATTATATTTTTACTTATAGAGATGTTAATAGGTAAATTTTGTATAATAATATTTGATAATTTTTTTAAAAATTGAATTTAAAGACTAAAATTAAAAATTACAAAAGTTAAAAAGATTAATTATAGATTTAAGGACTAAAAATAAATTTATTTTAATTTGAGAAAAAAATATAAGTTAATAATCTATATATTGTTAGTATAAAATTTGTTTTACACTGGTAATTAATTAGATCTTTTAATTGTATCATGTTACTATAAACATATTTACTTTTAACATTGACATGACACAATTAAAAAATCTAATTGTTACTAATGTAAAAAAAATTTATCCTGATAGTGTATAAGTAATTAATTCAAAATATATATATATATATGTAAGTTTACTATTAGTTTGTTAAAAACGGTCCATAAGCGGTCCAATAAGATTACTTTTAGCATGACTATTGTTTAACCTCTTTTTCTCCCTTATTATTAGCACTGGCATAATTAAATGTGGGATGCAGCGAGTATTTAATTTATATTAATAATTAATAAATATGATAAAAATAATTACATAAGTTATTTTTGTTTTTAATTTATGATAGAAAAAATTGACTGAAGAGAATTTATAAGTTAAGGTATATAATGACGATTAATTTTATATATTAAATATAAATTTTTATTATTAAAAAAAAAACATTGATAAGAGGGTTTGTAAGGATTACAATTATTTATTAATTAAATATTAATATTTTATAATAAATATTAATAAATAAAAATATATTTTTTATTACATAAAAAATTATTTATCATAAATTTAAAATATAATTTATATATTTAAACATAGTATTTATTTTTATATATAATTTATTATAAATTTTAATTGTATAATAAACATATATATATTTATGGACTTATTATAACTAATGTATATAATATTTGAGAAAATTATCGACTATTGTTTTATTTTTTTGACACCTATGAAATAATATATAATATTGTCTTCAATAAAAAATTAATTATTTGTTATAAATTTTATATATAATTTTGAATTATTATTATGTAATATTTTTCGACACAATGTTATTGTAATAATTAATTTATATTCCTTTCATTTTTTTTCATAGTCATTTTGTAGATATTTTGTTATTTTTTTTATTGTCATTTTACTAAAATCAATGATTTATTATTATTTTTTTTCATTTTTATCCTCGATAATTAATGTATGTTTACTGAATAATGTATCTATTTATTTCTAATGTCAACTTATTTTTTCTCCAACTACCTATGTGATTAAATGGAGTAGGTTACTATTCACACGTGTATTATAATAATTAATGCATTAATTCATGATTAGGTGTGATTAAATGGAGTAAGTTACAGTTCACATGTGTATAATAATCAATGCATTAATTCATGGACTTCTCAAAAGGTGCATAACAATAATAAGTGTACACAAATCAACCGTCTCAAGACTTGAATGCAAAAGAAAATAAAAAGAAAAAATAAAGGGTATAACAGGAAAGTAAGTAATATATTTTTGAAAACTAAAATATCAATCATTTCCTTAAGTCCCGTGCAAAACCTTAAACAACTATGAAAAAAAATGGAAAGAGTATATATTTTTGACTGATATTTTATTTTTATTCCACCGTTTGTCTATTTCTTCATTAAATAAATACAATTAATAAAAACTATTATAACTCAAACATTTATTTTTAAAAGAACGTTTCTTTTTATTGTTATTTAAATTAGTCTATTCGTTTGATTTTTCATTCAATTAATAGTTTTTTTTTTAAAAATCTATTATAAATAAAACATTTATATTAAAAAATTATAAAAATAACCATATAAATAAATATTGAATTTATAAAAATAACCATATAAATAAATATTGAATTTATAAAAATAACCATATAAATAAATATTGAATTTATAAAAATAACCATATAAATAAATATTGAATTTATAAAAATAACCATATAAATGAATATATTTAATTTATAAAAGTAATCTTTAAAATTAACTAAATAATGCTTTACTATAAATAATCGAATAATATTCAAAAGACATAACATCTTAATTGATTTTTAAATATTTTATTTTTACTTATAATTTTTCTTACTTGAGATTGGTGTGGAGATGATTTTCGGGCAAGATCGGCGAGCCTCTTCTGCCTGGTACATCAGCTGCTCCGAGATGAGATTGGTACCTGCAAAAGAGACTCCGATGCTTAAGTTCATCTTTTGTGGGTGTATGGATCTCATATATATAATGCACGTACCTTGATGTAGATTAGAGTTTTTCCCACGACTGATAGTGGGATCGATTATGATTTGATAAGATTGAGATCTTATCAGTTTATCTTATCAATTGGAGAGTAAGCTGACTTGATAAGTCGATGTGGCCTGACTTCTTCGGTACTGAGGTGGGCCCTGATACCGATATGGGTAGTACAATAATGTTAAAATAAAAAATATTTTGGATAAAAAATTAAATTGTTCTTGTACAAATTTTTCTTTTAAAATATAAATGAAAGGTTTAACGTAGCATACAAATTTGAATTTATTAAATTTAAATGAGAACATTAAATATTTTTAAATTTAGTATCATTTAAATTAAATTTATAGAAACAATTTAACCTATGATTATCCTTGTAACTTTGTTTTAATAAAATTTAAAAAATTAATATCAATATGCATTGAATATTTTTTTTTCTTCTCATTTCAATCCCAATCTTCCGGTCTAAGACAACCCTCAAGAAAAGGAGATTCAACAGAAAACATCACTATATTATTACTTTAAGGGAAAAACACTTAATTTGGTCCCTTATAATAATTAATAGTTTTAATTTCATCTCTCTATAATTTTTTGTTTCAATTTGGTCCCCTATAATTTAAAAAAATGTCAATGTGGGACTTTTCGTCCAAATTTCACAAACGGTGTTAAGTGTAGATGACATGGATGCCACGTAGATACACAAGTGACAAGGTCCCATACTCCTTCTTTAATGCACCTGGAACGGGCCGTTCTGATCCCACTTGTTGTGTGTTAATTTTGTATCTGAAATAGGCTATTCCAGATGCAAATGTAACACACAATGAGTGTATCAGAATGGACCGTTCTGGTTTAAGAACGGACCGTTCTGGTTTAAGAATGGGTCGTTCCATAACGATTTATATTTAAATTTAAATTTAAGTGTTACATTAAAGGAGCATTGACTGATGTTTAAATTTAAGTGTTACATTTCAACAAAATGCAGCAATGTGGTTCAAAGATTGAAAACAACAATTCATAACATAACATAAATTTAAATATTAAAATATGCACCAGAGTTGATCTTCTTATCCCTATTTTTCATCATTGCCCATATAAATAATAAATTAGTTAGACGTACTTTACTGTCTGAGCCGTCACGATCTAGAACAGTAGATGCAATAAACTTAAGCATAATTCTAATGGTAGAGTGGTGAAATGTAGATGAATTGCATTTACCAGCCTCCCATTGTGTATGACCTGTTACAATCCCCAAAACATGTATGGATTAAATGATCTTGGGTTTTTTCCCCTATGGTTTGAAATCCAAAGATACTATTGAATTACTCCAAATTGAGACGATACTCTATATTAAAAAGTCTAAAGAAAATCAATCCTGGTTCACAATTTGCCCCGGTCAAAATTTCAATATGGAGAGAACTAAGAAATCAAGAACAATCCTTGGATCTGGAACGACCCGTTCTGGTTTCAGAACGGATCCAGATCATTAAAGAAGGGAGTGAGGAGGCATGCCACCTATGCATCTACGTGGCATCCACCTCATCACATTTAACATCGTTTGTAAAATTTGGATGGAAAGTCCTACATTGACATTTTTTTAAATTATTAGGAACCAAATTGAAACTATTAATTATTATAAAGGACCGAATTAAGTGTTTTGCCTTACTTTATTATAGGTATGAAATATTTTTTATATAGCTTTGTCGACAATGACTAACTTTTGCGAAAGAATTTGATCAATAAAACTAAATAGGATTAAAAAAGGTAAATATAGCCAAAAAAATTATTTTAAATTATAAAAGTTAAAAAATAAAATTAGTAAAACTATAAAGATTAAAATTGTATTTTAACTTATTAAAAATAAGAAAAATCTTTAGAAATATAATCTCAATTAAATGAAGTATTATTTTGGGAATAAAAAGAGAATCCTAACCACATTATTCCATCGTTAGAGATAGACTCAAAAATTTACTAAACTAATTGAGATTAGTTTCGCTCAACCAATAAGTCATCCGTATAATTGGTACAAGACTCGTTCTTTTTAAGTAAAACATGTTTTGATCAACAACACGATAATAAACAAGTTTTTAATTAAAATTTCTTACACAATTAATTCAAATCCTCGAAAATTCAATTTTCTCCCTCTTTCTTTAGTTAAATATTAAATGTTTAATTAATACTATTTTTGCCTTTTTGCATTGTGTTATTTTGGATAGATCAAGAAAAACTAATAAATACTCCCACTACTACATTTTAATTCTTTATCAATATTTTCCTACTTTCATTTATTAAAATGTTACTATATATTGAAAAAATAGATTATTTTTAAAATATTTTTTTAAAATGTTACTATAGATAAAGTAATACTTTTTCTTTTAATATTATTCTTTTCAATTATTTTCAAAATTAAAAGTCTCATATTAAGTAAAAAAATGTTACATAGGTTATTTTGTAAAATGTTTTTTTTTTTAAAAAACATTACTATAGATAAGTAACACTTTTTTATGTCGATATAATTATTTCTAATTGCTTCTAAAATCAAAATCCACATCAAGTAAAAAAATATTACATAAAGAGTA